TACATCATCCACATGCTGAAATGTGTATGTACAAAAAATTATAATGTTCTTCTTGGCAAATATGTTTTCAGATTTTATAAGAGATTGAATTTATCAAACCTGATCAAATAAAATTTAAAATTTTAATAAAATAAAAAAACCGACATATTTTTTGAACCTGCATATACTGTGAGCCATGACGTGAAAAATGAGTATCGTTATATTTTTGATTTTCATGTTACGAACAACTTAATTTTGTTTAGGATTTAAAAGTGAATTGATAGAGCAGAAGACAAAGTTCTGGTTTAATTTCTAGACCAAACGATCATAATTATCATAATCTATATAGGAGAAAAATAGTAATTATATTACATAAATTGTTTACGGTCATAATTGAATAAGGAACAGCATTATTTCCATGATGTGAATATGATGTAACATATAAGTTTACATAACTATTTAGATAATCGGAACTGTATCGGTTCATATATTTTGCCTGATAATTATTTTTAGCACGTTTCCTAGGTTACAATGCTCAGATCAGATCCTTTTTGTAACAATCATGAAACAAAATCATTGCTCGGTAGCTGTTTGAATTAGGATAAAAATATTACTTTCCGATATGCAGAAAGCACGTCAAAAATAGCACAATAATTTAAACTTTCAGCTTTAGTTGATGATTGATTTGATTACATAATTAAACGTCCTATCAACAGCTCAATTCATTTAAGGACGTATCTCAATGTGTCTTGTGTTTGTGCACAGGAGGCGGAATGTTGGCATATTTGTTCCCCTCCATCGCAGATCTAATGCCAACGTTATAGTGATACCGCACTGAAATACCATGTCCAAAGCATCTATTTCGTCCGGTCACATTATACTGAAATCGAATGGACTGGTTGTTGCCAATACCTCAAATGCAGAACGTTTTAACAGGGAACAGCAACTACCATTTTGGACTCTGGTATGTCCCTGCATAGGGAACGAACGCACTGCTTTCCTCACCTGGGCGATCGTTCAACATTTAAGTGAAAGTAGAGGCATTGCCAATTAAGGCTCTAGCAAACAACGGGTACTAGAAGAAGAAGGAAGTTCTACAAAGATACCAAATGTTGCAAAAGGTGGAGCAGACTTATTTTAGACACTTTGTGTCTCAAACAGAAGACATAAACGTGACTCCTCAAGTATGCAGGGGTCTCTACATTAGACGCCTCTGACGATCATGCAGCGGATAACAGCAAGTGTATTCTTTTCCCGATCCCCTACCTGCAGGGATGATCATTTTATGGAACTCATATTGTTTTTATTTATTTCTGTATCATGTACGTGATTTACATATGTAAGTTTGATGATCTCATGCGCAATTTTGTCAATAGATCACACGAGACCACGAAAGGGAACCAAGCTTTAGAGAGATCAGCCTCAACGCGTAACATATCACGAACCGTTTACAGTATTATACCTTTAATAGGATTGCATTGACCTTCAGCTAACACGGGGGAAAATAAAACTGAATAAAATCCGATTACTTTAGCAGTTACAAATACTACGATGTTGAAAATAATGGAGACTTGATTGCAACACCAAACAAGATGTTTTCAAACTCGTAAGAAAGCCGTTTTGTGTGGCGATTTAATACACGCAATCGTCTTTTTTAAGTATCCCGGAATGATCTAACAGTTTGATGTTTGAAGTAATATTACTGTAGATAAGTTTGACTGTTGCTTGATCAATAATTTACCTTTTTTCCCCTGGTCGTCAAGTTGCAATAAAACCACCTAAAACCAAAATTACTGTTTTTGTTCAGTTCAATGTTTAACAATTTGAAAATATGTTCTTCATGGAAATATATATTACTGCGATACAGCTACATTTAATTATTTTACAACGTATAATGTGATATATCACTTACTTTACTGTTGTCATCGTGAGTAGTAATCATGTAGATAATTATAGGTTATCAAACGGTGGGAACAATTTCATCATCGTAAGCACATGGATACAATCGAGAGTCCATGGTTTTCAACTTGCTCGTCTATATATTACTAACTGACATGCTTCACCGATCATAAAACCTTTTAATAGCATACCAAATCTTCCAAACTACTTAAAGTAGTTATTGTAGAAATGTTTCAGACAAATGTAAACAAATGCAAAAGGAGAGTAGCTCTGGTGTCAACTGTAATTACGCCAATTATTTCACCTCGCATTTTTTATTTCCATAATATTATAATGGTTGGTTATTGATGTACTACTTTTTACGCGGATCACTTAAAAAAGTTACAAAAGTATTTCGGTTCATGTGTGACTTGGCGCGCGCAGACATTATATTTCTCAACCGAGAGTTGACATGATTAATGTGGACATTTTACGGGCTAAATATTAATAGAAAATATAGTCATGCTAAGTCCCTAGTGGCGGGGAAAGACCCAAGGGCCTTTTTTACATCATGCTTGTGTTTAGCTCTTGATGCCTAGCAATGGTATATATGGTTAACGGGTGAGGATCTCAACGGGTTCAAAGATATAACCAAGAAACTAAGTCCCTAGGAATTGGGTAAACACCAGGGTCAATTTTTATATCATTATTGTGTTTATCTCTTGATGCCCAGCAATACTATGTATGGTTATGGGGAGGGGAACTCAACTGTTTCAAAGATATATCCCAGACACTAAGTCCCTAGGGTGGGGAAATACCCAAGGGCCTATATTTACATCATGCTTGTGTTTATCTCTTGATGTCTAGCAATGCTAAATATGAGTATCGGGTGGAGATATCAATGGTTTCAAAGATATAACCCAGAAACTAAGTCCCTATGGGTGGGGAAAGACCCAAGGGCCTATTTTTACATCATCCTTGTATTTATCTCTGGATGCCTAACAATGCTCTATATGGTTATCGGGTGGGCATATCAACGGTTGCAAAGATATAACCCAGAAACTTAGTCCCTGGGGGTGGGGAAAGACCCAAGAGCCTATTTTTACATCATCCTTGTGTTTATCTTTGGATGCCTAGCAATGCTATATATGGTTATCGGGTGGGTATATCAACGGTTGCACAGATATAACCTAGAAACTTAGTCCCTAGGGTCTATTTTTTACATCCTGATTGTGTTTATCTCTTGATGCCCAGCAATACTATATATGGTTATAAGGTGTGTGTGTGTGGGGGGGGGGGGGGGGGGGGGGAGGTAAAAATGTAAAAAGTTGACAGAGACGACAGACGACGGACGCTGCGGTATGCCATAAGCGCATTTGGCCCTTCGGGCCAGGTGAAATAAAAATGACATTATGCCGTTCTTAATCAAACTATAATACCATGACAAACCCTGCTGTATTCTTGTTAATCTCAAATTTTGTAAGGTGACAGTTGCAAAATAATTGGAATCAATGCGTACACAATAAATTACACTGTTTCAAACCGAAATTTGGTGAATGGTATCCACGCTATAGAGAAAACCGCCGAGACGAGGTTGTCCTTGCCCGTCTCCGGATTGGTCATTCCTACATAACCCATTCTTATTTATTGAAAGGCGAATACCAGCCTCAATGCATAGCATGTCACGAACCATTGCATTGACCTTCGGCCACCAAGAGATTTGTTTTGAGAAAATATAACGAATCTCAAACCAATTTTCGAAAAAGTCAGTATCTCTCCAATTCTAAACTATCTAAAAAAATGTCGGGTTGTTCAGAAAGATATAACTAAACCATAGCCACAATTTATTCAAGTTGACGTTTACCTTTTTCGTTCGTTTGATGTATTTTCCTTTACCATGTTTTGTCTACTTTTATTGGTTCTAATGACCTCTTATGTGTTGATGGGCCGTTAAGAACATAATGATAATAATCATACGTTATATGCGGTATTCCTATAATTGTTTTATCGTAGAAAGCGTAAGTTTTCATATCTGCATCTCATTGATATTTCAAGATTTGTAGTCATAAAGTAAGACATTTGACAAAGATTGAATTATATCATTGTTTTGTCATTAGAATCTACCTTGTTTTGCAGTTCATTATTTACAATCTGAAATTAAACATTGAAATAGCCAGACTATGTTGTTGCAGATGGGACATTTTTTATCTCCTATTTTCGAAAACCTTATCGTGGCAATGAATGTTTGTAAAAAATCATAAATATATGAATTAAACATTTTTAATGTGAATTTTCAAAATCATCTCAATTTAGAATAAATGAAATGCCAAATATTCTGTTAAAAAAGAACAATTATTGTGTTAAGTTTACTTTCTGATTTCGTAAAAATAGCAAAAAGTCCGACCATACGAAATTAACATAATTCAATCCTTGATACATTATATGCGATGAGTTACACGCAGATGATGCGATGCGGGAAATCAAGGAGGCACTAACGAATCGCAAGAGCACGCAAATGCTGTGCTTAAAGTAGAACGTAAGGTTTAACAATTCTCTACATATTTGGATGTGGACTCGTGCTGAGCTCATTGATATATTTCAACAGTGTTAATACGGATGATACTCGTTTTCAATGTGGTATTAATCCATTTCAAATTAAAAAAAGGATGGCAATCTATTTCGTCAGTGTTACCCGTACTGACAAGTTCTCCATATATACGTCATCCTTATGTGACCGGGCGGACTGCTGTGCCGGGTACCTTAGGCATAGTATGTCAGTGCGATAGCACCATAAAGTCGGCTTTAGATCCATGCTATCACAAAGAGGCAATCACACCAACATACCCTGTCTCAAGCACACATATATACACGTACGCTTACACAACACACATAGAGGCACGTCCTTAGATGCTGTTAATAGGACGTTAAAGAAAAAAACCCAAACCCATCTAAATATGCAGCCACCTATGAAATAAAATGCCAAATAGACAAAGATCTTTTTTATATTGACCCCATGCTGACTTGCAGAACAGGGTATATTTGGATGGTGTATTTGCCGTTGGCCAAACCGTATCTGCATTCGTTTTATTTTAACTTCATAAAACTTGTACAAAAAGCATACATTTAAAACATAAACGTTGAAATAATGCTCCATTTTTATTGGCATTTACAGTGTTTTCTAGTGCACTTTGAAATATGACACAGATCAAATGAAACCATCAAGACTAGTAGCCTCCTCCTCCTCCGCCACCGCCGCATCGGCATCCTCCAATGTACGGATTTCCGTAGAAGTTCTGCTTACAAACACATTTGTTGGTTTTGAGATTACAATAGGAGTTTGAATAATACTTGCACTTTCCTCCACACGGCACTGTAAATAACAATATTAACATTATTTTAGTTTCCTACAGTGACAAAGCATTTTGCTTAATTGTTTGTTTAAGTATCGGAATCTGAATGACACATATTATCTACCGTTATTGTCCCAATGACCCTGACGCAGAACGTTCATTGCTAAAAGCATGTATATCTAAAAGGCTTTTGCAAGATATGAACATACATGTAGCTAGCGTCAACTGACTGGAAAACGCAATTATATTCAACACCTATTGTGTTTTGATACAAGTAACTGTCAATCATCTATCTCATCAGCGATAATTTATGTTCAATCATTACGTTATATTGACCAACTATACCTAATCGCACAGTTGTGCGCATATGTCAGCGCAGCTCGGCGAGCAATTGTACTTAAACGCAAACAAAAGTTTCTGTATATAAAATGTATCCGCTGAGGGTAACCCTTCACTACGTATGGGAATATTTGAAAGAATGGTGCAAATTCAACTTGGTGCATTATTTTGATCATTTATCTCCGTGACATAATATGATTTGAAAATTAAACCTTTAATCCATAACCGTTTCTGAAAATTAAACCTTTAATACATACCCGTTTCTAAATCACATCTTAAATATACTTTTGTTGTGAGAAAAATACTTACAATCATCATCCTTAATCGTAACAACTGTTTCCCGACGGGGCCCTACTTCTCCTCCAGCACTGGCTGATGTTAAGGTCACTTTGAAAGTTTCAACTTGTTCATAAATCTGTGCGAAGAAGAAATCGTTATCTATTACCAAATGAAATGTTATACACTGAATTAGTATTAACTATATTATTATATGGTCCGGTTCTTTATTCATTTTGGTTTAGGGACGGCTTACTACAAGCTTTACGATAAGCGGAACGATTTGTCTTTTCTATTGTGAACCTTCCCTTTCTTGATAGAAACATCCATATGGATTATACTTATATTGACACTACAAGTTTTATTTATCGTTGAAGCATACTTCCAGAACACCTGGTCTTATTGACACTTCGGAATCCTGATGTTGTTTTTTTAACACAAAAAGGTTGTGAAACCATATTCATTCAAACATCGGTGCCAAACCTACCTGGTCGTTTACGATTGGAATTTCGATGAATTTCCATTTTTCACCAACTCCAAATGTTACCGACCCAGATGCACCTTTGTAGTCGCTGTTTAGTGTAGCCGTTACACCAGTGGATTTCCAGTTCAAAGTGACTTTATGAAGTCCTCCGGATATTCTATCGACCTGTAATTTTACCACTCCGGCACTCTCGCCTACAGCGTAACTTGATCGGGCGAATTGGAATTTGCTTGGTGCTTAAAGCATGTGCAAATAAATAAAAATGTATTAATAGTTTTCATGGCGTTTACTATATCTGTATTCATTAAACACTATAACCTGTATACCATAGTATTTATAACCACATATGCCCATGGATACATGCATGCATGCACACAAAGAGATGTTAGCAAAATGTATATCTGGGAAGTTTATGCAATTTGAATCCTTGTTTATCTGCAATATGTAATTGGTTATAAAATTATATCGCCTACACGTGACACTGATGTTTTTGTCTTACCTTTAAAGCATAAATATTAGTTACTTTCTAAAGTAAATAAAAAATAATAGGTTATTTGTATCTCGGTAGGACACTAATTCTTACGATCATCATCCTTAATCGTTACAACTGTGTCCCGACGGGGGCCTACTTCTCCTCCAGTACTTGCTGATGTTAAGGTTACTTTGAACGTTTCTGTTTGCTCAAAAACCTGTACGAAGATAAAGAACTCGTTATATTACCCACTTACATGAAATGTATACACAAATTCTTATTATTATTAAACAATCATATCTGGCTTTTATAGATTCATTCTGATGAAAGTATCTAAATTTTTGTAACATTAGAACATTTAAAAA